ACACCTCAAATGACATGAGAATCCGACCCATGGCAGTTATATTGACGGCCCAGGACCACATTGGCCACCCCTGGAGACGTACCAAATTGCCCAGAGTCTCAACCCGGGAATTTCCCAGAGTCTCAACCCAAAACTCATAATGTGACATATAAAATTACAAAAAAAAAATCCAAAACTAACGTCAAAGTTGTAAAAAATATAATTTCAAGCAATGAGAGGTTTCGAGAAAACCGCTGAAGTCTAGGATCAGTTTGATGAATTGATGAGTTATCTCTCCAAATTACCCTATAATAATTAGTTTGTTAGCTCTAATCCCATATGGTACGTGTATTCGTTAATGCCAGTCTTTATTAACCGTACTATAGGAATCTTGACTGTTTTGCAAAAGATGTTACTACTTGACTTTTATAGGGGCAAAATGGCCACTTTTGGATGGGATGTGTTATACCTCAAGGTGCAATATCTCGTTTCTCAAAAACATCAGGCTTATTCGAAAACATTTATACATCTGCTATCCGAATGAATTCGGAATACGGAGGCCCCGGGGGATCCACTGGAACATCCGGAATATCCGTAAAAGTGGCCAATTCATGAAACTAGGTTCTGGCTTTCTACGAAGTTTCTGTTTCCGGCAATGTTGATATGATGGTCAAGACTCCCAAATGATGTTGGTGATAACTTTACAATTCTCTCATTACACGACTCCAGTGTACATGTCAACTTCATGTACATATCTAGATAGAGCTGGAATTAGGGCGAAACTGCTTTTGTAAACAATGACTTCTCTCGATGATCTCTAGAAATCCAAGGCTCACTCACTCAAATCAACGTCACCATCTCACAGTGGTGCCAAGGGTATCAAATCAGGCGCTTTTTTATTTACGCTGAAATGGTTGATTAAAGGTACTAGGTGTCTTCTGAGAAGTTTCTTGGGTTACAACACTCCTTCTTATGGTGAAAGAAAATTAAAGATTAATTCACCTTAATAATAACCATAATATGATAAGATACACAATAATTGTGTAGTGCAAAGCTGTAGAGAACATTACTGTGAACAACTTTGTTAAAGACTATAACTTTGTAGTTCTTATAACTGTTGAGATATAAAGGTTTTTTTTTTGTGGAGACATCGTTAAAATTAATTTTGTACCTGTAACTTTTTCTACAATATTTTTACATGTTTGGCATGTTCTACAAAGATGTTAGAAATGTCAAATTACATATTTTTTAAAAAGACTGCAAATTGCTATTATTAATATTTGAAAAGCTATTTACATTTTTTGGTTGAAAATTACCCAACTTCCAATACCAATAACTTCTAAACGGGCAAAAATGAGCAGGCCATTTTTTGAGCAATTGAAAGTACAAGAAAATGCAAAAAAATGGTTAAGAAACCAGACCGCCCCCACGTGACCCTTAACCGAAATACTTGCATTGAAACTTGTCACTTTTCAAAATTTGAAATGGCGATTTTGTGAAACCACGGGACTGTTATCGAGTAGGTGTGAAGAGAGGCATACAAATGGATAACCAAGCAACCTGGGTTATTTATAGTGACTAATAAAATGACTCGGGATCAAAACCAGACCACCCCCAAACGACCCTTGGCTGAATCGCTTATGTAGTTTTAATATTTTTCGTTTTGTCATCTGTGAAGACCAAAAGTTGCAGAGCATCCCCGGAGCACACCTCACTTTTGTTTTTTCAGTAACGATGTCTCCACAAAAAAACCTTTATATCTCAACAGTTATAAGAACTAGAAAGTTATAGTCTTGAACAAAGTTGTTCACAGTAATGTTTTCTACAGCTTTGCTCAGCACAATTATTGTGTATCTCATCATATTAAAAAAAAAAGGGCATCTCACTTTTAGGTAAATTAATCTTTAATTTTCTTTCACCATAAGAAGGAGTGTTGTAACCCAAGAAACTTCTCAGAAGACACCTAGTACCTTTAATCAACCATTTCAGCGTAAATAAAAAATCGCGTGTTTTGATACCCTAGGCACCACTGTGTATCTGGTAGGGGAAGACTTCCCCTTCCCGTTGGTTATGCTGGTTTGTGTGGGCGTGCCTTGAGTTTCGAGAAATCATCGAGAGAAGTCATTGTTTACAAAAGCTGTTACGCCATAATTCCAGCTCTATCAAGATATATGCAATATTTTGATAAGTTGATAATCTAGGAAGTTGCTGTTGTCGACAAACTTATTCATGTGATCAACGCTTTTTGGATGGTAGACAAATTAGCTCGAACTTTTCTCACTATACGGCGCAAGCATGAATGTGAATTTTCAGTATGTGCTATCTCGAAAGCCTGACCATCTAGAAAGATGCCATCTTCGGCAAAGTTGGTCAAGTAACAAAGCCTTTCCTGAAGATAGACATACAAGCGCCATGTAGTGAGAAAATTATGAGCTATCTGCCTGAACAAATTTCCCGAAAACAACTTCCTAATTTTTTTTTATTAAATAGATTTTCAGGCTCGGGCTAGATGATCAGGACATCAACATGAAGTCCACATGTACACTAGCGCAGCGCATTGAAAGAGTTCTGAACTAACCTGCTACAGTTTAGAAAACCTTGGTCAGCTGAACAACTTTCCTGAAACTGGAAACTTCTTATGTATATAGTCAAGTTCTCAAAATATATTTTATACAAGAAATTGACTTGCACATTAGTGCCGCATAGTGAGAAAATTCTGAACTATTGTTCTCTAACCAATCGGCCTTGACCCACTGAACAACTTTTTCAAAGACAGTAGCCTTCTATGTGGCCATCCTACCCCTAGGGGTGGCCAACCTTAAATGATTTTTTCTTATTTAGACATATTTATTATTTATATTATTTACTGCATATATACTTTTTTGGTTCGTGATAAACATCATCAGATGAAAAATGCTGTTTGATGCACTGAATATGAAAATGTCAAAAAGTGAAAAACATGGCTATAGTGACGTATACGCCACTTGGTAGTCATACGGCAGTTATAGGCCTTATGTTGAAACTCACTTTTGATGATTGAATGGCACCTAAAAAATCGAGATTTCTGATAATTGAAAAAAAAATCATGAAAACATGGAGCATCTAGCAGACCATGAAACATTTTTCATCAATAGGAGGGACTCTAAGAAATGTGTAAAAAAATAGTTAGGTTGCTCTAAATTTCAATACAATAGAAAGATTTGTTCAGCTATTACTATGAAAAACTGTTATTTTTCTCCTCTAAATCACGTTTTTCAGAGTTGCCGCCATACAAAAAATGTTTTGTAACATCTTTGGATATTATTTGGAAGGTGAACACCCGGGTTTTTCAGACAATGTATTTTGGGGCCATCCTAACGTCCAACTTTGGCATGGAAATGCTCTATTTGCTTCTGACTGCATAGCAAAAAATAAATGTTAATATTACATCCAATCATGTCAAAAATCTCATGTAATTTTTATAGCCACAAAAATAAAAAAAATGCAACAAAAGCAGTTTATGCACTGTACTGTATTAAAGATAATTTTGTCCTTTTTGGCAAGAAATATTATACCATACTTTCGACACGATTGTCCACTGTGATATGATATTAAAAATATTTTTTGCTGTGTGGGTGCAGTTTACAATTACTCCCCAAACTTTTTTACAACGATCAAATTAATGGATCAGGTGATAAAAATTAAATAAATTATAGCTGTAACATTTGTAAGGTTGGAAGTATATAAGTAGAGGAAATGGATGTAATGTCGGCCTAAATGCCCCTAATTTGGGCCCATACATAAATTCAGCAATCGACTAAATTTTCAATAGCGACCAAAAATATACATTTGATTGTAGTCTAGGGCTGAGTGAGTTGCAATTCTTACACATGAAAAATATAATTTAATTTAATTTAATTAATTGTTTGAACAAGTTTTAATTTGCATCTCTGTTGTAGCTTTGATGCATCCCTCGTAATGTTTATAGAATACTTTAGTTGCATTTTCTGACGCAAAGGCGCGCTTGTTGGCCGAAAATTGTGTCTCCGAAAAACAAAAGAGTGGACTATATTGTACGGTACTTTTCGGTATACTGCATTTACGATATCACTTAAAAATACGCAGTAACTGTTTTATATGGAACGTTGCATATCATTATGCGTTATCCACATAGACAATAATACAGGACGACCTTATTATTGAACATCAATTATTTTCCTGTAAATTGTACATGGTTACTAGATTGCAATAGATCGTTAGATATAACACTGATGTTAACGGTTTTCTCAGTCTCAAATAAATCAAATGATTTTAATTGACTCTGCCCGACGTTTCGGCCATAGGTTTTGGCCTTTTTCAAGGGAAAGTTAGTCTACCGTTGTTATGACGGTTCTAGTTGGAGTGGTGGTCAAATCAATATGTTTTTGTGTCTTAGCGTTTAGGTGGTTGTTAAACGTTTTATGCACTTAGTCACTGTGTTGCATTACCTAGAACAACAATAACAATAACTAACCTTTTCCTGTAAAGATTACTTGGTTTTATTGAATTTCAAACTAGTCATAGCTTATTTTACAGCTGACGAGTCTTAGCTGAAAATTAAGAGATCGCCTGAAATTATGTGTACAATGTCAATAAAATTTAAAACATGCGTAAAGGCAATATGTCTAACATTGAATATCAAACGTACGTTTTTAGCAATCAATAATTGATCAATGATTAACATGTCACGATGATCGGTAAATTTCATGGCCTTGGATAAATGCTGCACAGTAAACTATGTGAAAAATCATATGAGTATCGGTGGTACAGTGAACTCTCTACAACTCGATATTGAAGAGACCATCGAGTAATGGAATTCCATACAAAACGCTATTTATGTTCATTTTTATTATGGTTATATATTTCGATATCGAGCTAGTGGACATCGACTTGCGGAGAGTTGACTGTTTATTTAATCTTCTTTTATGACTGATAAGGATATAAAAAATAACAGTTTCAGAGTAATTTGCTAGTGAATTTTTATTTTACTGCAACCATTTATGTTACACAATGATACATTCTCACACCTCTTTTGCTCTACGGCGTGTGAAGTGAAGTGACTCACTTTCGCGACATTATTCCGTCTCCATCAAAGCAAATGGTGTCTCGCTTGAAGATAAGTGACATTCGGAATACCAATAGTTGTCGGAGATTCACTTCACGTCTCACGCCACGTAGAATAACCCCGACGCTGTAATCATCTGCGACGAGAAAACATTTTTGTAAATATACACATTTCATCATTATTCTTACAAGCTACCTTTTAAAATGATATGTATCGATTTCCGACATTGTTCATGGACATACTCCCTCCTATTCCCGAATCAACTAAATTGATTGTTGTACTTATATCAAGTAATATTAAACAAATTCATTTATATCACAGATCAAACCTAAAACCCAACTTTTGGTAACATCATCAAACTTAGAAATAATTGTCCTTTTGTGCCAAACATGCATCTTTGTAGTTGGTCGCATTCAGTGGAAGAAAGTAGTCATCGTGCAGAAATCGTATGATATTTTCGATTGGACACAGATTCGCACGATCCCCCCGTATGCCACGAGGTACACTTAAGCTTTTACCGCCCTCGCAAACTCCGACCGCATTCGTCACGTCACGTCCATTGAACAGCAACCGAAAGTAGAACTGAGTGTCCTTTTCACTTTTGTATACCTCAAATGCCAACCGTGATGCATATGGGATGAAGGGGCTTTCCTTTGTCAATCCGAGAGCCGTCATCAGGTATTCCATCGTTTTGTCGTGACCCGAGTAAAGAACGAACTTCACCTTATCTCCGGAGATCATTTTCAACATGTAGCCGACGATATTTCGCAGGAATCCGTACGCCCGAAGTAGACCTTGCTGACGCATCTTGATGCTTTTCCATTCCTTAAGACCTGCCCACTGAGTATAGGACATGAGTGCTGTTACGTGACTCTTCTCGACGCAGCCTTCTATATCCGGTTCCTGTTCCCCGGTCGGATCCACGTCGTCCGGTTCTTCCGTGTTAGGTTGATTTTGGCTGAAAACTATGGCAGCATCATCCTGGTCGATGTTGATCACATCTTGTGGATCCTGAGTACTGGAACTACTTGTTTGACGCAATACGTGGGCAATGGGTGAAATTTTACGACAAGGCAGTGGGGCGTCGTGACAAATGTGAGACAGGATTGCGTCCCGTATTTCCAAGGGACTAGATTGACCTACAGTGGGTTGATTTTGAAGCAGGGTTGCGCCCATCCACTGGACAATGGCCCCTACTGCCGGGTGGGTTACAAGAGACTGTTTGCTTTCTTTGTCCAGTTGCTTTTTAATATTGTCCGCCTGGGGACAGGCACAGTCCGTGAAACAGAAGGACAGACTGTGACTTTCTAGGATTTGAAGAAATTGCCATTTTTCCGGGTGAACGATACTAAACATGAGGGCCATGGCGGACTGGAAAGTGCGACGATATCGGGTCGAGTAGATAACAATGTCATCAGTATTATAAATGATGGGATTATTGGTGGTATCTGAAGCGTTATAAGGAGTAGTTCTAGTATGGACGATGGGTCTAGCATACAGCGATAGGGTGTGGGCATAGGCTTGACGAATAACGTCCCCAACTCTCAGCAGCTGAGCAATTCCCTTTTGTGTAAGTTGTCCTAGAAGACATGCTTTTGGGCTGGACGGAAGCAACGGAAAGCCATGAAATGGACCAGTTTTCATCCAATGGCCTGCAGTGGTGCTAGAACTGCTATTAGTCAGATAGTGATTATATTTCACTAAAACCGTATCACCCTCGTAACTGCAATCAACAGAGTCAATGCCTCGAACATGTGTCATTGGACCACGATCGCCGTGACGTATAAGAAGCAACACGCCCTGCAAGGACCACCCATCAAGCGTCCCTCCTTCTTCACCAATTCCAATCGTTGGAGGGTGGTTACAATCATCATCGTTGATCTTTTTCGTACGAATGCGATCCTGTTCCTCAAGCATCAATTGTTGCTTTTTGTACAGGAAATTTTTCGAACTCAAAACGCTATTGCTGTTTTCGATTGATCCAATATACTTGTACATTCCTAAAAGTGACAGAAAATCAATGCAGTCCACTTTCACTACATCCTTACAGCAAATGCGATAGCTTACCAGCAATAAGCAGGAAAATCCATATGCTTAAAATTAAATAACAGTAAAGGGTTCGATGTTGCAGCGAGAAACGCGCGATTTCCTTGAGCAACATTTCCAAAAATTTGCGAACAAAATTGGTTTCTTCTGGTCACTGCCAAGGAAAACAAGTTATCAGTTAGTATCAGCTATGATTCTGACATTTATTCTCGACCCTGGGAGAGGAACTTCATCAGCAGGTGGGAGGGATTCCTGTTCGCCTGCGCGCGAATTCAACTTGCTGTGCTCACCGTCAGAGGGCTTCACGTTGTTCCGCGGAGAATCTCCCATAAATTACGAAGCGAAACGCTGAAACTGATTCAGTTTCATTATCCAGAGCTGATTTGAAGAGTTATATTTAAATTTTATTCTATTCAGAAACTGTTTCAAAAGTAATCATCTAAGGATACCCCACCCAAGAAGGTCTGCTCGCTATCGTTGATATTTGAATCATGACTGTCAGTGCGCGCGCTCACTATCACATGTTCGACCGACAATACAACAGCACACCCCGCACCGCGCCTGCCATACCAACAACGTATGGGACTGCTATGGGAGAAGTGTAAACGACACATGTTTGCACAACAGCACATTATACTGATATATATATTTTTTTTTCGAAATAATAGGGGAAATTGATGTAATGTCGACTGTTATGCCCCTACTTTGGACCCATACAAAAATTCAGAATTCGACTAAATTTTCAATAGCGACCAAAAATATTCATAAGTACCGTCCCGATAACGCGTTAATCTAGATAAAATTGAAAAATAGCAGATTTTTAGCGATGGGCCCTATCCTAGATCCAAAGGCCAACATTAGAGCCATTTCCCCTATCTGACTATTTTACCAACTGCATGTATGAAACACAAACAATTGCCGCTTCAACCGGACCATACTTCCATTAAGCATGTATTCAGTATTTGAATAGCATTTTCGTATGATACAAAATAAAACAAAGTGTTATTTATACCTATGCACAATTTTTATGCACAGTGATTACAAAATCTTCTATAGAAACAATTGCTTACACCTAAACCATTTGTTTTAGATAGGGGAAATGGCTCTAATGTTGGCCTATGGATCTAAGATTGGGCCCATCGCTAAAAATCTACTATTTATCAAATTTATCTAAATGAACGCGTCCTTGTGACGGTTCTTATAGATATTTTTGGTTGTTATTGAAAATTTAGTGGATTGGTGAATTTATGTATTGGCCCAAACTAGGGGCATTTAGGCCGAAATTACATCCATTTCCCCTAATTAGTGTGTCCAAGAAAGTATTTTTTTCATTATTCTTTTTTTTTTTCTTTTTTACTCTTCAAATTAAATCATATTAAATTACATTTCATTTTAACGAAGGTGCTCCAGCTACTACAATAACTTACCAGCCTTAATTGTTATGATATATATTGAAGTGTGTTCACATTGTTCCTGCTTTGGCAATTCAGTATTTGAAGCAGATTTTATTTTGTAAACCTTCATATCAGTATAAAATCAAAAATCATATATCTTCTTAAAACTAAAAACTAAATCTAAATCTTATCTTATCTTTATAATTGTACCAACTGCAAAAAGTTGGGACACACAGCTGCTTTTTTCCATAAAAGAACGCTCCAAGCTGACGTTTGCAGAAATGGTTAAGTTGCAAAATGGAACCTCTGCTTCGTTGGCATCAGCCGCACAAAATAGAAACACTTATGAGATTTTGTCTTCCGATGAACTGGACTCTGATATAGCAGACGAGAGTGAGTTTCCGGAGGTACACGCCCCCGGTAAAAGGAAGCCGACTAGCTCCCCGGGTGTGCGCCGAAAAAAATAAAACCCCTCTCAAAAGCTTGCAAAAATCTGAAGGTAGCGGGGATTCATTGAAAAAGCCGAACCAATCGGTAATTGCTGCTCCATCTGATCTTTGCTGTAGCTATTCCATCCCGCCGCAACCTAATAAAGGTAACAGTAAGAGGTTACCAACAATAAACACCATGTCTACTCGCAATTCAAAGAAAACTCTCCCGTCCAAGCGAGGAAAGATTAAATTTAAGGACATTGTGGATAATATTTGGAATGCTTGTTCCTATAGTCGCAAACTACTTCAAGCAATTGGCTGTATCATGGCCCCTCATTGGTGAATTCCTATCTTTCGATGGATAATTCTTCGAGTGAGGATCAAGATATGATCACTTTATTACAATGGAACTGTCGTAGTTTAATACCTAAATTAGACTCATTCAAGTATTTAATTCAACATTCTGATTGTGATATATTTGCACTCTGTGAAACGTGACTTTCTTCTGAAGATGAACTAAACTTCCACGATTTTAACATTATCCGCCTGGACCGAGATGATTCATATGGTGGCGTAATTTTGGGGATCAAAAAGTGCTAGCCCTTCTATAAAATCTCAATCCCAATAATTTCAGGCATTGAAATTGTCGCTTGCCAAATAAATGTGAAGAACAAAGATCTTTGGATAGCTTCTGTATATGTCCCTCCAAGGACTTTCATAAACCGCCGTCAGCTTTGGAGTTCAGCTAACATCCTTCCATCTCCAGTTTTAATACTGGGCGATATGAACTCACACGGTACTGGTTGGGGCGAATCATACGATGACAATAGAGCGGGTATTTTCTATGATTTGTGCGACGATTTCAACTTGACTATCTTGAACACTGGTGAAGCAACACGTATAGCAAAACCTCCTGCTCGAGAGAGCCGTCTTGACATATCTTTGTGCTCTACACGGACAGAAAATTGTTTGCATTGAACCAAAAAAATCTTTAATTGTATTTAAGCAAACAATTCCAGTTGAAATTATATTGCTTTTTGTTGTTTCAATAATACTTATTCATATAAATTCAAAATAGGATTCTTTTTGTTTTAATCAGCCACTTTTCAAATGCAACTATTGTAAAAATAACAATATTCTATTATTAAGCCAACAATAGTTAATTTTGATTTAGCATTTATTTGCTGTGTCCATTCTCTGGGTCATGAAAGCAAAAATAACTACCAACCATTCCCTCGTTTTCACCCGGACAAAAATGTAAACAATAACAATACCTACGCGTTCCACGTAAGTATTGTTTTTAATTGTAAATTTCGGGAAATAAGTGCAAGATTTTCGAAAATCTTGAGACTTGAGTTAAGTAAGTATGCTGCAATTCGAGCTGCAGTTGATAAATATAATCAATATTTCTGTTTTTTTTTACTTTATTTTTTTCCGTCGATCTTGTTTTCCGTACTGAGTACCAATGCTCCCGACGCCAGGAAGGCAGCTCCCACATCTGGACCCTACATATCGACCCATCAACTCATGAACCGGGGGCTTTTATTTTATGCCTCAGAAATTCAATTACAATTTCTGCAATTTTGTTTCAAAATGAAAACGAATCATAAAAAAATGCCATATTATTTTTACATCAATAAACACATTTTTATTTCTACTGCGTGAATTGTCAGACTTTATAAAATAAATATGATTGAATCAACAAGAAATCTCTTTTAAAAACAAACATATTTTTGTTGTTGACCCAGCTGCCAAATTTGACAGCTTACGTCAAAACCATGAAAGCTCTTGTAAATTCTAAAAGATTTTCTTTTTGATTTAACAATCCATGGGTTTTTAGAAACAAAAATACTGGATTGTTGAAACAATAATGATTTCTTTTTGCAGCCAAAACAAAATGAAATTCTTATTGATTTTACGTCAAATATTATTACTTTTAAAATATTTTTTTCTGCGTGTAACTCACTATCATTAGATTGTCTGTGGAAGGTTATCAATGATCCACGAGATAGTGATCACTTACCAAATATTATTTGAATCAAAAGTGGTCGTCTAAAAACAGATCAGTCAAATCACTCTTGGTATTGATTCTACCGATCCTCTACCACGATTGGACGAGTATCGTTTCTTTACTGAACTAATTTACAAAAGCGCATTAGAAGCTCAGAAACGACGTGTTCCAACTTCTGCATCCTTCAAAAGATGACCCGCCACCCCTGGATGGGATGACGAATGCACAAAGTTGTATCTTGAGAAATCCGATGCCTTTAAATATTATCGTAGACATGAAAGATCTGAACTTTTTGAAAAGTATCTAAAATTTGAAAAAAAAAAGCTTAAAAACTTACTGAAAGCAAAGAAACGAAATTACTGGCGAATTTTTATCGAGGGACTTTCTAGAGAAAATTCGATGACAACGCTTTGGAAAAAGCTATATGCGAAACCGCTCATCTTCCAATGAGAGTGAAGAATACTCCTCCCCAATGGAGGAAAAGTTTCCTACCTAGCTCCTTCCAATCAAAATTGTTACCCTTTAACCTCGAGCCCGCCACGAGTAATTGGTACCCAATACTAACCTAGAACTACTGCTGTTTAAAATTTAAATTCAAACATTTCTTATTTGTGGCTCCGCAAAGTATCACACACAACTGAGCCTAGTAAATAAACGAACTAGTTAAAAAATGGAATTAATCGTTTGAGGATGGCAACGATTTTCGCCTGTTCTAAAGTCTCAACATTCGAAATTTATATGTACTTCGGTAGTACCAACAATCAATACGAAACTAACGATTTTAAATTGGCTCACTACTTGACTAGCCTATTGGTACCATAGTACCATAGAGGTAACTCTAAGACCAGAAGGTCCCGAAGAAACGTGCTCAACTTTTTGGCTCACCTCTGGTACTATCTTCGGTCCCAAGCTAATCGATTCACCCCTCGAAACATAGGAAAATCCACTAACCCCTCATTTTATCTGTCAAACTTTCATAGCGAATCAAAACAAACATTGCGTAGTAGTAGAATTTCGTCTAGAATGGAGTGCGTTAATCGTTTGCTTGGGACTAATAGGCTAGTCAAGTAGTGAGCCAATTTAAAATCGTTAGTTTCGTATTGATTGTTGATAGTACCATAGAGGTAACTCTAAGACCAGAAGTTCCCGAAGAAACGAGCTCAACTTTTTGGCTCAGCTCTGGTACTCTCTTCGGTCCCAAGCTGATCGATTCACCCCTCGAAACAAAGGAAAAACCAATAACCCCTCATTTTATCTGTCAAACTTTCATAGCGAATCAAAACAAACATTGCGTAGTACTAGAATTTTGACTAGAATGGGGTACGTTAATCGTTTGCTTGGGACCAA